GATGGAACTCGGAAATAATGGGCATTCAAAAATGCTTGAAAAATTACTTTAATTAATTTTCTAATCATCTCAACCTTTCATCCAACATGAACCTAGAACATTTGTTTCAAGATCCAATTGCACAGACCTGATCCAACACCAATAAATCTCAGTAATATAGGCCCACACACTCCCCTCCACTTAGGCCTAAATGTGGAACCAGAGCCCCAGACACATGTCCTCTTTTTCTCTTTCCTCACCTCCCAATTTACAGCCCCCCCAAAAACAGCTCTTCCCCACTGAGCTTGTGTTGATCCTACATGTCTGAGTCTGTGTATGTGGAGGGACAATTTCCTCCTCACCTCTGCCGATGTCTGCTCTCCAAACCCACTCCCAGTCTCAAGTCACGGCTAATTAATTGACAAGTTGCCCCCACTGAGGGTCAAATGGAGACAGATTCATTGACACCTGCAACAGACGCAGCAAACACAGCCACTAGAGATGTCAAATAGCTACCACCTGCTAATAGCACTGCTAAAAAGTCGTGAAATATCAACAAGACGACAGAGCAAGCAGTGCAGAAAAATCAGATTTTGACATAATAGTTTTTCTGAAGGTTCCCTTATAAAAACAGTAATTTTACTGTTACTTCCAACTCCCAGTTTACACAAATGAATTACCTGCCAACAAGATCTGAACCTGTCAAGATTTCCTCCTAACAGAAGTAAACTAAGACTGTTGATGGGAGCTATTTCTTCCTCTGATTCATTCAAATGATTTTTTGTTCCCCTTTTTTCTTATCATCCCCTCTTAGTAAAGCCATCTGCACGACATGATTTCTTGTGAGTCCTGATGTCTGTTTCTTGTGCGCTGTTTGAGGACAGTATCATCAAATATTACTCAATCTCGCTGAGCCATCCTCCTCATCTCCTCATCTCCGCACCTTGACCCTTTTCTCAGCCTGTAGATCTTGTCTTTTGTTCCATCTGTCTCCTCCATCCATCAGAAAGACTATAAGAAAAAAATTATCTGACTCTCTTCCTTGACTGTCAGTGGAAGAGCTTCGAAAAAGCCTCCCTTTGGCATGATAATTAAAGTGAGGAAATGCCTGCATGTGCGAGCCCAGACGTTGATCATGTTATTAGAGAACATGTAAAGGGTGAGATCTGTGGTTGTAGTTCTGTCGCTGATGCCTCAATGGAAAATAACTTGCATATCTATATCTACAGTTTGTGTAAGCAGAGCCTGCACATACAGATATCAGCGGTAACACCAAGAGGCTGTGCAATTTGGGTAGAGGCAGCATCACAGCGCTGGGCCCCCTTTTCTCTATTCTTAGCTCTCCTCCTTCTCTCACTGTCACACATGACTAGGTATAGAAGAGGAGAGGTAGAAGAGGCATCTTGAGATTCTGACAAAAATGGGATCGTATTTACTCTCTAGTTTATTAAATACTGTCTGTCTGGACTGCCTTTTTTTGAACTAATATTTAAACATGAGGAAAATTAACATTAATCTGTAACCATCTGTATTCGAATTAAACATTCACAGTGAGTATAAGCACAACAGGCTATGCTTCGTGGGGTGTGTTTGTTAAATGCACTGTCCATCTGACCCACTGTGTGCCCTGTTCCCACTCAGTCAACTAAGCTATTGCCGTTGTCTCGTTGTTAAAGCAAAATGGAGAAAATTACGTGCTGAACTAAACAGATGATTACAACATCAAACCCTCGGAAAACTGATGCATTTTGGACTTTACAACTAAAATCATGGATGGTTGCTGACTCTGTTAAATGCATCTGCCCTACTGTAACATTAGTTCGTCACTCAAGTAGGGCACTGTGACTGAATGAAGTACATTGATTTTACAACATAGTTTAATGTAAGGTTACATGGGTTGTGTTTGGATTAATTATGTATAGTGTGTCTTCTTTGTTCAAACTTGATATTTTGTTTTAATGGTAATTTTTTGTCATCTTGAAAGATGTTTGAAGTAGTTTGTGCTGCTGTTGAACTGCTTTGCTTTCTTTGAAAATTGTTTCTTTTTGTCTACAAAATAATAATAATAATAATAATAAACACCTCCCTAAACCTCCAAAACACTCAAAACGGAACATTTTAACCTTCATGATTAAACTGATGCATTGCAGCCAATTATACATAATGTCTGATGTATTATGTTTGTACTATTTGTTTTGTTGTTTGGTTAAATGGTGTGTTTTGTTATGTATGTGTAACAGTATACAAGACAGTAATTTCAGACGCAACTCTGACATCAAACTGAAAACAAATAAAGGAAGCTGTTGTATCAAACTGAAATTATGCTTCTGGAAAGATACACGTAAACATCTCTGCAAGCCTGTGCAGATAAAGGTGGTATGGATATAATAGAGGAGCTGACACACACACCTACCAAATCTCAACAATGAGTTGTGTAGACCTGCACGTCAAGCAAGCAGACTGGTTGATCCAACTCACTGTTGAGGAGCAGGTTGGAAACAGTGAAATAAAATAAGTTTCACAAAGTATAAAAGAAAGGTCCACGTGAACAACCCCCGTGCCCTCTGCCGATGTGCAATCCAGAGAAGCCTGGTTCAGGCTTTACACTGCAATGGTTTAAGGAAAACTGGTAACTGAGATAATACTACACTCTTTTTTATATTGTGCTGCGTGGATCATTTCTTCAAATATCTGCAACTGACAGAGGTATTTCTGAGACATTGTGTAACTACTTTGCACTTCTCTCCCTCCCTCTTTCTCTCTTTCTCTCTCTCTCGCTCTCTCTCTCTCTCTCTGAGTAAACAATAAACACCAGGCTGCTCAGCACCTGTAATCCTTCAACGACTCAATCAACATTTGTAAAGCTGGTCACATGAGGCTCGTATCCAAAACTGACTCAGCCGGCTGTCTGCTGTGAGTCCCAGCGTCAACATCTCGACGCCCATATATTCATGACACTTCACTGCCGCCACTCTGTTCACGCTCCACCGATCAAAACAGGGACCACGCCGCCCGCCTGACAAGAGAGCCGACGCTTGGATCCAGTAATCCCTTCTACCCAACCCACTCTCCAAAGACATGCAGCATCACGACGCTGCAACAACACACCATTCCCAGGCCTTGTTGCTTACGCACTCAGAGCTACATCTGTCTACAAAGCTGCCTTCTTCATCCACTGTCAGCGAAGCTCCCTCTGGATTTACCGCCTGCGCCTGGATCTTTTCCCGTCTCTTTTTCTGTCTGCCACACCTTAACCCCTTGCTTGCTCTCAGTCATGTTCTCTCCTCTCTTTTTTCCTTTTAGATGGCTAATCTGCCCCAGAAACACAGTTCACGTGCAACCATTTCAAGCCAGCCTTGTCAGCCAGTACCCAACTGTTGAGATTGGAAGGTGAAGTTTTGATCGAAATATTGTGGTGAGGAATTCGGGGGACTGTAGAGCAAGAGAGTCTGAGCAGCATATGTGAGTCAGAATAGAGTAGGTCTGTTTCGGTGTTGAATCTGGTGTGTTGTGAAGGAGGGACACAACCAGCTGTCACACACCTCCTCTAAGTCACGCTTCAACATCATAATTAGATAGTTACATCAGATCCTGAGTCGGTGGATGCAAATGTGGACAGGCTCAGTTTAGATTTGTGAGCATTAACTAGTCTCGCCCAAAACAATGCAGCCAAGAATCTAATCTGCGATGCCACCAAGAGACAAATCCTATATTGGCAGCAGTCGGACGTTGTGACAGAAAGCAGGATTTTTGCACTTTTTCTGTTGCAAAAATATCCATGCAAGCGATGAAAATCACAGTAAAAGTTAAAACACGCTTTTTCCGTGTGTCTAAAAGTTCATTCTACGCTCATGAACGCCATGTGTGAATTCTCCTTTTGAGCTGATATTGCTTTATTTCCTCGCATGTACTCTCTGTCACACTGCCTCTTAGACAAGTCTTTCCATTATCTTTACACGCCCCTCCAACTTTTAAATGCGCCTTTTATCAGTCAAACTCCTGAGCGGCTGCTGAAAGGAGCACAAGCTCAGCAATAAAATAGGCTGCAGCTTCCCCACTCTCTCGCTTTATAAAGTTACTATTGTCTAGACCTGTTTTCCCTTGTGAAGCAGCACAACTCGCCGTTTTGATGAGCTTATTGAAGCTACTGCCTCGTTATCCCTTATCTCAACACTGGGCTCCCTCACAGAGCACTGCAAGAAAGAATGTGTGACGAAAAAGGACAATTTGAACTTTTGAAATTTGAATGTTTTTCCTCATCCTCTCGTCCTTCCCTTTCCTTGTCCTCTGTTGGTCTTGCTCCTAACAAAAACACTGCCATAGGCCTCTACACATACATTTAAAGATCAATATTTGGTCAAGGTCAGATCCTTGAGGCTATTATCTCAAGAAGCACCAGATGTGTCATAACAAATTACACAATGTTGTATTATCTAATATCCAACAAGAAACATCTGCAGATGTGTTAATGACCCTTTATTTACACCTCCTATGTGCATCGTTACATGACCTGAAATTATCACAAGTGAGGACAATTTCTGTGGTTAAATTAAGGTTCAATTAATGGACTGCAGCTGGAATGATAAGTCGATTATCTAATTGTTGGAAAAATATTAAGCAATTAAGGTAAATATAATTAGGCATTTCCAGCTTGTTAAATGTGATAATTTGCTGCTTTTCTCTCCGAAGACAGATTTTGGGGTTTTCTACTGTTGGTTGGACAAAACGTCACCACCTTGGACTCAACTGTGACGGCATTTTTTTTTCACTATTTGCTGACGATTTATAGTCAAAACAATGGATTGATTGATTTTTTTAAAAAGTCAAAAAAGTCTATAGATTCATGAATAATGACAATAATAGCCCAAGTTCGGACCATTTCTGATACAATAAGTTTGAAGCAAAAGTTCAACTGAATTTCACCTCCGAAAGTAAACAGTGAGTGGATTTCTGCAAACAAAAAGTTTGAGGAAATGTTCAGACACACAAAGACAATCCAATTACACGAATCACTGGCCTACCTTGAACATTGCCAGCCCGGATCTCCTCTCTGCTCTTCAGAACTGGCATGATGGAGTGATCTGGGATTCGACTCCTCCTCTCATAGCCTCGGATGAAGGGATGGTAGACAGATGAAGTCACGCACAGAAGACTGAGGTGGGGTCTTGCGGGGCGAAGGGATGAGCGGTCTCTGGTTGGATGAGGGTGGAGGTGGGTGACGCTGGGGCGTTATCAATGTCGAGTGGGAGGGGAAACGACTGTTTTTAAAGTGAAATAATATGTACAAAATTTACAATAATGAGCATTAAATCATTGATTCAAATTCTGTTAGTGTAAACATGAAGACTGTACTTTGAGGTGCATCGCTTAGAAAATATTTTACATATAAAAAAGATCCATCTACAGAGAAGTAGAGCTAACCTGGTGGAAATATGCTTTTGACTCTGATCTTAGAAGAATTTAAAAGTTGACCATCGACTCAAAATGTCAGCGTGCGTGTGAACTCAAAAGAAACTAAAACATGATAGATGGTGAGTGATGAAGGGGCGTTCTTTCATTCGTCTCTTTCCATCCGATTCTCTTCCCCCTTCCTCCAACGCTGGCGCTACAGCTTGCCGAGGTCTCCTCCCAGAAGTCTGCGAGTGTGTGAACACAGTTGCCGTGGAGATGAGGAGATGAGCAGCAGTACGTGTGTGTGTGTGTGTGTGTGTGTGTGTGTGTGTGTGTGTGTGTGTGTACGTACTCCTCTTCTTCTTCTTCTTCTTCTTCTTCTTCTTCTTCTTCTTCTTCTTCTTCCCTCCCCTTCCTTCTTCTTTGGCTTTCTTTCACTCCTTGCCTTCGCTTGCTTTAGCCAGTCATGATCACCGGTTTGCCGGCCCGCTCTGCGCTCTTCTCTTCCTCAGTCTGAAGGAGGGAAGAAGAGGAGGACAGACTCAGATGGCAGAGTATGGCTGTGGATGGATGTGTTGTTGGTGAAGGCTGAATGCCACTGTGTACACAAGTCAATTGCCTCTGAGGTCAAGGCTTAACTCAGTCAAGCTGCTGTGTCTACATGCCCCCTTTCACTGCAATCTGAATGTGTTGAACATTGTTGCCTAGTAATATTACTGTGCTGTTTTCTTTGCAGGAGATGCTCACAGCGCTTTTGTTCTATACTTGTTTTAATCCAGTGTTTCTTAAACTATGGGTTCAGACTCAAAGTGGGTCGTGTAGCTTTTGTGAGTGCGTCCCAACGTGAAATCCTGGAATGTAAATTACAGTAGGTCAGTCATTAGAGATGTTTGCCATTCTTTTCATATCAAGGTAGCTGTTCTTTATTATCTCTGGTTATATATTGGGGCAATTTAAGTGCTTTATGGCTTCTGAGCTTGGGCGTATGTTTGTTGTATCATGTGATAAAGTACTGTGATTTGTCAGGTAGTAGATTCACCCCAAACTGACATTCTTCTCTGGTTATTTAATCTTCAAACAGTTTCTAAATTGATTTTCTTCCACACAATTTACTGTGTCACAATATTACCGTATCAATATCGCAATATTTTATTAATTAATGAAGAAAATAATCGACAAGTGAATGAATAATTAAAATAATTGGTAGTTGCAGCTACAATAATGTATGTTCTGTCTAATGTTTAATCCTTTAAGTCTTTAACAAATCAAAGGAGTCATCACTTTAACATGGATATGCTCACGGGGATACATCTGTAGCTGTGTGTGTTTATCTGTGTATTTTGAGGAAGTCGGATATGTAGGTATACACAATTTAGCCTTAGGAAAATTGTCAGAGGATATCTGCATGTGTAGAATTTTAATCCTGTCTGGCAGTGTAATGAATTATTCATTCAACAAATTTTATTTACAAAAAAATCCATCTTTCTCTCTGACTCCCTCAAAGTCTAATGATCTCCGACTCTCATAATAGTATTAAAATGACACTGATAGCTTGACTCATGCAGAACAATACAATATATCTTTAAATAAGCCACAAATAAACAACTGAATAAGGCTTGTTTGTTTCGTCCCCTCACTAGTTTAGGAATCAATGCGTTTTCTAAATGTTGAATTGTGATATTTTGGTATGAGTTAGGTATGTATATACATTAAAACCTTACTTACTTCCTTACTTCAGTAAGTTTCATCTTTTGTTTTATGGACAACAGTGTTTTGTGTTACTGATATGTCTTAATGACCCTAAATGCTTCATCAGACTGAACCCCGAGAAGAGCATGCCCTTTTAAGCCTTTATGTACAAACTGCTGTGTCCCATCACTCTGTTGAAAGAGGCCCTAAATCATTTAGACTGTTTGGGTTTTAAGACAGTCAACTTTTAGGGCAGGGGCCCACTCTTTCACTAATGGTGAACATTTAAGAGGAAGCCCCTCATATGTATATGTTTTAAGTTCATATGAGCAAAGAAATCTGATAACACTAAGTGACAGCAGAGTGTATGTTGAATTGGTACTCTCTGTTGTTGATGCGTGAAGAATTAAAGAGTGAATTCAGTTTGTTCTAGTTTTTTCTAATCATATTTAGGATAATTTAGCCATTGTTACATAGCTATTTAGATGATTAGCTAGTCAATTAACAATTACTAACTCAAAATAACACCTCTGGTTGTAGAAAAGCTAACACAGCATTGGATCACGAAGGCAATATATAATACACTCTGAGACATAAAGCCTAGTATGTCATACAGTATATAGTGTACAGTGTGCTTATTAAGGTCATGCTGGAGAGTCTGATACAGTAAAGCTGGTGTGTGAGTCACATTAGATCTGTGATTCATTTTCAGAGATCTGTTGCAGATCCATCGAGCAGGAAACAAGAGATGTAATGGAGGAGAAGGAGGAGGGCATCAGCATATCATTGGTTAACAAACCTCAACCAACTAAAAAAAGGAGAGTAAGAGGACTTAAAATGAATGCATGTAGACGCATGCACCTGCACACTGCACTGGACTAATTGAGACAGTCAACTGGTGTAAGCTGATAGGAAAGATTTAATCAAATTAAATCCAGATTAAATTAACTTTGGGCTGGTTTCTGCCATGAAAAAGAAATAGTCCTTGTGTGAAATCTCTACTTGCTCAAAATCACCACTGAGAGGAGTGATTGTGCGTGAAATTCTCTCACGATACTATAGTAAATATACAGAAACTGGATAGAGATCAAAAGCGTGGCCCGATAAACAACCAATTAGTCGCAGCAGGGTGAAGAAAGGTTTGACAGAACGAGCAAATGTGGTGGAAAATATAAAAATACCCTTCACAGAGAACCTGCTGATGAAAGTTCATGCAGAATACAATTTCCATCAGTATCGTGCAGGCATTCAAATGCACACACACACATGCACGCTCTTGCTCGACTAGCTGTACTCGCACGCACGCACGCACGCACGCACGCACGCACGCACGCACGCACGCACACACACACACACACACACACGCACGCACACACACACACACACACACACACACACACACACACACACACACACACACACACACACACACACACTCAGTGCACACACCTACAGTTCATGCATGTGCATACACTCAGTTGCGTAGAGGAAGTGAGTGCTGTATTAATTCACTACTCACCTAATTAACTCTTTTCTGTAACACATAATTTAAAGACTGTAGTGGAGATGTTTTACAGAGGAGCAGAGTTGAGACACAAAAGCAAAGACAGAGCAAAACGAGTGGTCCTTCATATTCCTTCATGATGACATCCCACTCTCAGAACAATCAAGAAAGAGGTATTTATTAAGCCACTTTATCAGTCCATAAGAAAGGGGGAAAAGGAAGACTAAAGTGGCTGGTGTGGGCCTATGCTACTGGTTGTAATTATTCACCTTAAGGCTGAGTGCACAGTCAATTTCAGGTAGATGTCCATGGATGTTTGAGCTAAAGTCTAGCAGTGGCAATGCTTTAAAAGAGCGTTCCCAAAAAGGTGTGGCCGCGAGAAGTAGAGACAAAGCATCAAACACAACATAAAGAAAGAAGGAAAATGTGACAGAGCAAAAGAGAGGGGTGGTGATGAGATGGGATATTAAGTTTCATCTATTTTTATCTGTCTATCAGTCTGTCTCTATCTACAACCTGCACATCGTCTATTACACCTCAAATCCACCGCAAGGCATTACCCACTTAATCCACTGTTCAACATCCAACTAATGCCAACTGGTCTCTCTTGCCTGATACAGGATGAGAATGAAGACAAGTGGAGGGAGGGGGGAAGAGGTTCGGGAAGGAAAAATGGGCAGTTCTGGATGAAAACCACTGGAAGAGAGGGACAGGGAAAATTTAAAACATGCAGAAGCACAAGGATTCAATTCTGAGAAATATTTTGATGACAACAAAGGAGCGTATTTAGGTTTTAAGATTGTGTTTCTGTGTGTGTGTGTGTGTGTGCGTGCGCGTGTGTGTTGGGGAGGTTGTATAAGAAGGGGCAGAGAGGCAGTTAAAGAACTAATGGCTGCTGATGGACTGGCAGAATGAAAATGAGCACAAATCAAGCATGAAATGGGATACACTCTTAATGACTTGAGATGGCCATTTACTCCAAACTTTGAACGCAGCTCGATAAATATCACGAAGAGAACATCATTTAGTTTAGACTAAATATTCCCAACTTTGCCAAATTAGAATCAAAAATAAAAAGGACATTGAAACGGCAAGAAATTAATTTCATTGTCCCTCAGGACTAAACTTAATTTTTCTTCCCTTGTTAGTTCACAACAGGTTGCGAAACAAACCGATCACCTTCGTAGAATGGAAAAGGGGACGTGACATGTGGACACGTAAAAAAAGATTTCTCAAAGACAACAGTTAAAAATGGGCGCACTTTGCCATGATGAGAAGAACAGATGAGGAGGAGGGTGTGAAAACCGTGTGAGACCAGACCAATATCAACTCACTGAACACTGTTCCTTTAGGCATAGTTTAGTGTGCGAGTGCATGTGTGTGTTAATGTGTGTTTTATGTATACGTAAAGCACACACAAATACACACAGACAGACAGATAGACAGACACTAAACGATAGTTAACCTACCTAGAGTAACATTTAAGAATCCCGCAAGAGTATGATGCAAAGAAAATGGGTGTGGAGGGACCAAAAGAGAAGGAAAAGGGAAAAAAGAGTCAATCATGAGGAGTATTTTTTTAGTTGTCTTTGAAGAAAATTCATCCAAGTTCATATAACATCAGACTTTAGAGACAGAAAGAGGCGTAGGATGGGGGAAATAACGGTGGCAGCAGTTAGAGATGAAATGGCAAGGAGGGACCGACAGGTATGATATGGTTTGGTGAAAAGGAGGGAAGAGTGGAGAGGAGGAAAGAAAGGACAAAAATGAAAACAAAACTCCTCCTTCCTTTCGCTTTTCTCTCACTCATAAATAGAGAAAATTATACACCAAGTAGATGGAGAAATAGATGAGGAGGCAAATGAAGGAGAGAGAGACTATATGAAAAGATGAAGCACCTCCCAGCACCGCGATGAGGAATAAGAAAAATATAAAACGAAAGAAAAAATTGAATACTCCAAAGCCTTCCGTTTTTGCTCTGTTTAGTGAGGCGAGCGGGGGGGGATGTCAGTTATATCCCCCCTCTCTCTGCAACTGGTCAGTCTTCTTTTATCTTCTGTCCTCCTTCAAAAGCAAGATGCCACCTTTTCCCCTTCAGATGAGCTGTAACCCTTTGCCAACACAGCTGTTAGACATGGTACTCAGGCTGGCTGCATTGTGGGAGCAGAGTGGAGCCGAAACACACCTCTGGCTGGCATAGAGCGCAGAGCACAACTCAAACTGCACTCCCTCGCTCTCCTCCCCCTCCTCTAGAGAGAGAGAGGAGAGAGAGAGAGAGAGAGAGAGAGAGAGAGAGAGAGAGAAACAGACAGATAGAGAGAGATGTGGAGGTGGGTCCCTCTATAGGATTGTGAATTAAAGAGATGCTACAGTAAAGAAGGGCTGTTGCAACAATTGTCAAGAAAATTGTTTCTATACAGAAACCAATGGCTCCCTCTGTTGTTACACTGTGTTAGGACATGGAAATAAAAGAGTCAACTGAGGTTTAGGTGCAGATTAGCTACTGAGAGCTGAGAATAACACCTCCACAAATTGTTTTCCACAGAGCATTTTTTGTTCTCATTTTAATTATTATTATTATATTATGTCAGCTTAAGGCCTCCTGCTATGTTTGATACTGACAATGTGTTAAAGTTCATATCAGCCTTTACTCTAAGTGGCTAATCAACACACATGGATTCATTTACACCACTGATCCTACTGATTTCACATACTACTGTTAGTTTACAGGTGCATCTCAATAAATTAGAACATCATGGTAAAGTTAATTATTTCAATAATTCAATGATTACTGAAACTCATATTATATAGATTCATTACACAGAGTGAAATATTTCAAGCCTTTATTTCTTTTAATTTTGATGATTATGGCTTACAGCTAACGAAAACCCAAAATTCAGTATCTCAGAAAATTAGAATATTAGTAATAGTTCAATATTGTAGACTCACAATGTCCCACTCTAATCAGTTAATTAACTCAAAACACATGCAAAGGTTTCCTGAGCCTTTAACGGTATCTCAGTCTGGGTCAGTAGGCTACACAATCATGGGGAAGACTGCTGGCTTCACAGTTGTCCAGAAGACAGTCATTGCCATCCTCCATCGGGAAAGAAAGTCACAAAAGGTCATTGCTAAAGAAGCTGGCTGTTCAGAGTGCTGTATCCAAGCATATTCATAGAAAGTTGAGTGGCAGGAAAAAGTATGGTAGAAAAAGGTGCACAAGCAGCAGGGGTAACCGCAGCCTTGAGAGGATTGTGAAGCAACAACCATTCAAGGATTTTGGGGAGATTCACAAGGAATGGACTGAGGCTCCAACTGTCAGAAGCGTTTTACCTGGGCTAAGGCTGTTGTGTGTGTCTCCCTCCTTTTGTCATGGCCGTATCCATTACAGCATTTTGTTAATTTTGGAAATTCCTGTAGGTACAGAATGCTTTAAGTTTAGAAATATATATAGAAATGTTCATTTATTTGTCAAACTGGGATCCTAAAACCAACAATAGCCCTCCAGAATATGTTTCCCAGCTACATTTCAATAACAGTCAAATGTATTATACACATTATTCATTCACTTCTATCAGAATATGAAACATTTCATAGTCTGGAGTTTCTAACAAACTATAAAAGAAATTAAACTTAATGAAATACATTTCTACATCATTTGTCAAAAGTAACTAAGTACATGTACTGAAATACAGTACTCATGTCAAGTTTGGAGCAGTGGTTCCCAACCTGGGGGTCTGGACCCCCACTAGGGGTCGCCAAAGCTTCACAGGGGGGTTGTCCTTTCTTGATTTTAAGGGGTATAAATAAATAAATAAATGTGAGCCTATATCTCAGAATGCAGTTAAAACAACAAAAGAGCTAATAGAAGAAGTATCAGGAAGCCTATTGAGTCTGTATGATTGTTAAAAGATTTTAGAATAAATAATACAGACAGAGAATTGAATAAATAGTTGCTAAAAACATCAGGAAAATTCATCTCTGATCAATATTCACAGGAAATAATCAGTTTAAAATTCAACCTCTACAATATGGTCTGTTACTAATGGTGGACTCTAACTTAGTACATTTACATAAGAACTTAAGTAGTCTTTTCTTTTCATTCCAGTTTCTACTACTCCACTACATTTCAGAGAACGTACTCCAAAGAGCTGATAAAATAAAAACAAAATGCTGTTTTGTTATTGATTGATTAGTCAATTGACAGAAAATTAATTGTCAACTATTAAAAAAAAAGACAAAAAACATTTCATGGTTCCAGCTTCGCAAATATCAGGATTTTCTGCTTCATACACACACACACACACACACACACACACACATTTTACAGTTACTTGCTAACCAAAGGAGAGGTGCCCCCCCCGCTGGTTGTGTCCCTTTCATACTCAAATGTATATTCATATTGTCTCCTTTCCCCTTCACCAAACCCCCCACCTATCTTTCCTGTCTTTTGTCTCCATCACATTTGGTCTGATCACTACCTTTTGTATTACTTCCCTCTGACTCCGATGTTAATCTTGTAACGTCTGGTGACTGAATACCATTTACATACTGTCTATCATATTGTCCATGTATAAAATTACCTTGATTCATTTGCTCTGGGTCCGTTTACCTACTCAGACCTGCTCTGTGTATGTAAGTTCACCAGGATGCCGGCATTCTATATTAAACTGTTTTATTATTTTATATTTTATATATATATATATATATATATATATATATATATATATATATCAGACACCACCACAGCAAACCTGAACTGGACTGGAATGATTTTTCTTCAACAATATACCTAACGTTACATTAACATCCTGCTTACATGTTAATGTGTCTCTAATAATAATAATAATAATAATACAAAAATTTATAATAGCTTTTATGTATCCTGACACATAAAGGGACAATTCTGCAAATAAGTTACTTTATATACTTAAAGTGAATTTAATGAACAGTTAACCTTACTTCTGTACTTTTTAAATTTGAACTAACTTACTATAAGTTACTACTTCAGTAACCTTAGCTATTAAAAAGTTGTCTTAATAACATTACACTATATTTAATAGTGGCAATATAACTTTAGTTGAAATGTCTAAATTGCTTAGAATAAAATACAGGTCACAGAATTTGATGTGTTAACGTTTGTATAAGCTAACGTTAGTTAAAGTTAGTTAACGTAAGCTTATGAGTTAGACAGAGGTTAGACAGACATTCAAAACAAACTTACCATCTTATTGAAGATCTTGAATGAGGCGGCATTTCTGTGGGAAACTCTGCATTATCTAAATTTCCACTCAATACATCGCGAAACGCTGAAACTATGTTAGATAAAGTTAGTTAAACGGTTGACAACTGAACTGACTGACAGTGAACGCACCTCCTGCCCGTTAGTGACGTATGCTGTCATAGTGTGCCACCTGGTCACGTTCCATTACGTCATACATTAAAACATACATTGTCACGTTTAATACAATTATAAATGTAAAGATAAAACATTTAAAAATAATTAAATATTTTTGTGGTAGTAATATGAATTTATAGTTATTATTCTAACTCATTATTATTGCAACTAATTTCAAAAAGTATTTTAAATATCAGATTATTTTTATTTATTTATTTATTATTTATTATTTGTGTCCACTCAGAGCCACCCTGGGGTCAGCTGAGAAAAAAAGTGTGCCATGTGTAAACCTGTCTCTAGGTTTTACAAATCTGTGAGCACAGTTAATAAACTGAGCTCTCAGATGAATAAAATGTGCCTACGGATTTGTAAACTGCATCCAGGGATTGTCCAGGGATTGTCCAGGGTTTTGCAGTCGAAGCGCACAAATTTGACAAATATATTTTGCAAATCCATGTGCACAATTTCCAAATTCGTGGGTATGGATGGCATCCAGGGCCAGGGACTGTGCCACAGAGCTCTCTCCCATAGTTCATGCTCTTTGATTCCTATAAGACTGCTTCAGTACCCAACCTGTGGAAAACATCCAGTCATATGGTGCCAAAGAAACCCCACCACTCAGAACTTCACCTCAATAGTAATGAAGTGTCAGGAAAAACTGGTACAAGACATGATCTTTCCAATTGTTGGACCAGAATTTGACCACAGTTTGCCTATTATGCCAAAAGGGAGACTTAGGATGCTGACTTCACTTCTGCTTTTAACACCAGAATATCAGGAAACTCCACCACTTCAACTTCCCCCCACTTCTCTTCCACTGGGTGCACAGCTTTCTCAGCGACACAAAATGTATTGCTCTCCCCACCCCCAACCTCTCAGACCTCAAAAACCTACCAACTCCTCATGGCTACCTTTGCCACTGAGGCTTTGAATGGTGCCCACTTTGATTCCATATCCCCAACCTCCCCAAAAAGTCCTCCAGAGGTGGAGTTTGAAGACTTTTACAAGTAGTGGTCTCAATCAGGCACTCCCAAGCCAGCTGAATGCAACTCACCACCAGGTGGTAACAGTTAACAGCTCAGCTCCTCTCTTCACTCGAGTATCTATGACATACAGTATGACCATAGAGCTGATGATACAGCTATAGAGACTACCTTGAATTAGCTAATGCTTGGTCAATGTGTTTGTCAAGAAATATCCATGACTAGCACAGAGATCCAGTAACAAAAAACCATTCATTCCTCTCAGTCCCCTCTTCCAGGTTTCTCGGCCATTGCCTTTGAGAGCATTTAAAGTTCCCTAGCAGATCCCCAAGAAGGACTCCCTAAAGATCTCCAAGAATGCTGGAGGAACTGTACTCTGACCTGCTGAACTTCCTCTTAGCATGCATGTGTTTTCATAGAGGTAACCATCTTGTTCTACATTGGTGATGTCCAACACAGTTTCACTCATGCATGGCTGCCATGGCCTGTAGTGCCTCAGCTGGCTGTATTTCTGCCTGTGTTTTTGCCAGGTAAGTCTTTGCCCACATACGTCTCTGCCTGTGCTTCAGGTAGCTAGACCTCCAAAAGCTTTTCTGTCAGATAGACTTTGGTCTGTTTTACTTGTTGGTCTAGTCATCAGATTGTTCCCGGTTAGGTACAGCTAGAGCCTACCCCATTAAAGTTACAGTGGGTAACATTTACAGGGATCTATTGGCAGAAATTCAATATAATATGCATAGATATGTTTTCAATACAATATAATAACCTGAAAATAGGAATTGTTATGTTTCGTTACCTTAGGATGAGCTGTTTTTATCTACAGAGGGAGTGGGTCTTCTTCCACAGACGCCGTTAGGTTTCTACATTGGAACCAGAACGGACAAACCAAACAGTGGCTCTAGAGAAAGCCTTTCACGTTTTTTGCAAATTTTGCCACCAAAGTAGTTTCTCCGACAGTTGGAAGTCTGAGCTGTATTCAAATGGTTGCAATCTGCAATTTAACCACTAGATGACACTCAATCTTTCATACTGGTCCTTTACGTCAGGTTTCTGAACTGGTCAACCTTTTCAGTGGATGAACAGGGGTACTAACAGCAGGTACCATTAGTGAGTCTCTGCCTTGTCATCTTCCAGAGCTTACACTGATGCAGCACACCCGCATCCAAGTATGTCTCTTACTACCCAGTAAGCCAGTCTCTCCATCAACAACTACTCCAGAGCCTTACTGCAGGTTGCAACTTCAGTCATCCAGTTGGCCAACCCTTCAGTCAACTAGACACCACCCTGGCAGTCATCTAGTTGGCCTATCTGTCTTGTTTCTCAGTTGATTCTGCTCTGTTGGAGTCAGCTTGGTCTAATATAATGTACTTCAGCGTCAACTGGAGGTGTACTTGTCTGTTACCTACCAGCTCAGATACCCTGCTCTTTGACAGTCAGGTCCCTCAAATAGTGTTGACTCTGTTTATTTGTCATAGTCTGCACCAGTCTCTCTGTGAGATCCTGTATCTGTTCCACAATCAGTGTCTGGAAACTGCTTCAGTTTCTGTTCCTCTATGCATGAGCCTCACCACAGGCTGTCTCTCTCAGTTCTGTGTCCAATTTACCTTCAGTTTCCTGCTCTACAGGCCAGCAGTCTTGGATCCGAGCTTTGTCTCCTAGAGACCAGTTCCCCTAGGCCCATTCTTTCCTGAGAATCTCTGAACCAGGTACTCTGGCATCTGGTTTCTCCGTTAGTTTTGGTAGGGCTGTGTGGTTATTTTCATTGACCCATGTATGAACCATCTGGCCACCTCCCTGAGCAGGTGTTCCCTTTCTCTATAGATCCCTGAGTGGTTCCACCTGTTTCTCATGCCTCTTGGCAATCTTCCTGATGGGCCCCACGTTTTAGTATTGGGACACAATGTCCTAGCACCGTGCTTCAAGCTCCACAGAAAAAGAAACCTATTGATTTTCAAGTGCCACGATCACAGCTACCTTTTAGTTTTCAAAGGATTATATCTCCTGGTCTGTTAGTCGCGAGCACAGAATACATTTGCTGTGCACATTCATGATACTAAGATGAATTGTCCTTTTTATTTTGGCCACCCAATGACCTTTTCTGAAGATTTAGGGAAATCTTTGGCGTACCTACTTTTATTCATCCAGTAAAATGTTGACTAGAAAACACTATCTGGACTTTTGGTGGAGGTCAGCTCGATGGAGTGCTGCAGGTTTCTATGCTAACCCATGTACTCGTCGCATTCTCCTCTGCTCCCGCACCAGTACGCAAGACACCAACAGCCACTTTTGGTCTGTGTGCAGATAACTGAGAGATGAGAGCTGTAGTTAAGGGGTCCTGTTGAGTTTTCTTAGAAACAAGTTATGTTTACATTCAGTGCTACTCACCAAAATGCATGTGTTTATTACTGAAGTCTAACAAACAAATGCACTTGCCAGGCTGATTCTTTAAAGTATTTTCAGTTCAGTATTGTTCACATCCATGTTTATGAGCTTGCAGTCTTCGTCCTCCTTGCTGCTGCATTACAGCACATTTTGGCATTGTAACACCAATTGTTGATCAGCGGATGTGTGACACCACTGGTGGGACTGTGTAGTGTCACTTGTGTGTGCATGCTTGCTCATGTTAGCTTTAATCTCATGTAATCTACTAATGTTGGCAGTTCTGTGGTTCAGTACTGGCTGCCTGATATGTGCAGCAGCCTTGAGATTTCTGAGTAAAACAAAGCTGCAGCAGGTCAGCCCAATTATGTGGATCATCTTGCAAGGAAAATAAAACGTATTAAGTGCTTCTGTGCCAAGGATTGTATATCCATTCGCACTGGTAAAACATGAGACATCTCCATCTCCTATGCGAGTGACAATGTCTCTGTGATGCACTGTTGTATTTAGGTTGGTAGATTGGTTGTATCTGTAATTGCAGTGAAGAGCTTTGAAAAGAAAAATAGATCAAATTTGTCAAATAACTTAAGTAAGCCAAGACTTTAATAAAACCTTTTATTGTGTTTGTCAAAGTCTGGTTGCCAGACAAAATTTACAAAAGTTAGCATTCAGTTTCTACCACACATTTATACATTTCTGTGCAATTCTGAGTTTACACTGATAATCCTGTCAAGTAAAGCAAAAGACATCTGGGTCAGAGTAACAACATAGTCAACAACATAAATATCTGACTTGGTAGCGGGGCAAAGAAATTCAATTATATACAACAGCTTAAGTCACAAAAAATACATTACATACATTAACCAGACAAAACCAACCGTTTGCCGCTTCAGTTCTCTTCTCAAGTCAGTCAGAAGTCCAGTTGTTATGCAAAGAGATATTTAAAAGATACTGCAAGTGTTCAACGCACAATATTTGTGTTCCTAACACAAAAAAGAAGCGAAGGAACACACAAACTTTCAAATGCAAAAAAATGTTTTCTTCTCCTCAACTGTTCAGCTAGAGCTGGAGCTGATGACATTTGTGCACTGAGGTTCACAGAAGGAGCCAAAGCGCCCATAGATGTCTTTGGCTCGAACCGCAAAATGGTAAGTGGAGCCAGACTGGAACTGGGTCAGTGTACAGGCCATAGGCAGTGGAAGGGCCTTCACCTCCCCAATCTTCTTCCAGTGCTGCTGCGCTGCATTACTGTTAGAGTTGTCTTGATGGAAGGCATAGAGGTGATAGCTGTCTACAGCTGCACAGGTCCGGTCAGTTTCTGCCACACACCAGGACAGCACTATACCGGTTTGACTTGGCACCAGCTTCAGCTGAGGTTGCTGAGGAGGTGAGGTCCGCTCAGCCTCTGGGGGCAAGCGTGGGGCTGCGGGGGCAGCTGGGAGAGGGGGCAGTGCCATGCTGGAGCCCCGGGTTGGCGTACTAGTGGTTACAGCGCGGGATTTAATTGGAGAGTCCTATACAAGAGAGAAGTGTTGTCATGACTTGTTCCTCTAGCAAACTGGGCTACATATTATTGCAACTTCAATTTCTTGAATCATTTAAAAAGCACCAGAAATCATCATCATCAAACAAAAGTGTAAATGCAATTTTAAATCCTCACCAGTGGGGGGCGGTGGTGGACTGTCAACTGAGGATTGCTGGGGGCGTTCAGATTGCTTTGCGGGGACGACCTTGCTCCTGCACCTGAGGACAGAGTACATGAGAAAAATACACATGTAATTTACATTAAACATTATTTAGATGTAAAACACATGATACACGTGTTTATCACTTTAACCATGTTTCTTTTTAATTACAATTACAATAATATGTAAAAATATATGTGCCATGTATCACAAAATCACACGCGTGCACAAAATCATTCTTTCATCCCCCTCAATAAAATGTGGTAGTCTTACTGTTGGGAATGCTGACGACTGGGTGAGGACGCTGGATAGGTGAGAGAGCTGCAACAGTGGCAGTTTTCACTCCTGTCACTGGAGAACACGGTGCAACATAATTAGACTTTTCAATACAGTGCATGTTAAGGTATAGAAAGCAAACTATTAAGTAAAAAAATATTCTATTGAATGGAAAAAACAGAGGTGCACCTCAACCTTACCTTGTACATCGTCGTCGTCCTCAGTGAGATCGATGACAGAACCTTTGGGTCGTGCCGCTGGAGCCCCTGCTTTGGATGGAGTGGATCCTGTAGCTTGGTTGTCTGAGAAAAGAGAGAGGAGAGAAATGTTGATATAAATATTGAGATAACGCAAGTTGTTTGTTGGCGAGATGGCACAAAGATGGCACATTAACTGTTTAAAAACTAGAAGAGTGCACTCAGTAGACTCACCAAATGGCATATGAATAACATGCCAATGTATTGAGTCATTTCGCTTTTTGTTACAAAGCCTTTTTTGTTTTTTGTGTGATGTCACGCATTTTAATCCCTACTGACAATGTGTCATTTTATGAGCGTATGTCTGAAAAGTCTGTGTAGGGAGAAGCAGATTGGGGTGTAAGAATGTGTCAAAAAAACACCCAGGAGACCACTGTTGGTGTAATCCTAACTAAACTGCAACTTATAAAAACTCATACGTTACTTAAAACTTATAAAATACACAAAAGGCAGTTGCTAATTAAGTGACACAGACAAAGTTAGAGAGGTTTTAGTTTGGCTGGAGGCTCAAATTTGGCCATTTAGTTACCACCTGTAGCAACTGAACTTTCTCCACTTACATGCCACTACAGGTATTCATTCCATCTCAGAAAAATCATCCAGACCTCTTACATGTTCCCATTCAAAGTAATGGCATACAATGGCAATTTTGACTCAAAATGGAGCAAATTTATATCACATAAAATGTATACAAAATTGTATCAAATACAATAATATTAGGTCAATATATCTGAACTGGTGGATGTCAGGAAAATTGGCTTTTTTTGAGAGGAAAGGCAAAGAAAGGAGGTCAACTGCAGTTTAGACTCATTTGGTGTGCCAATGCTTGCAGCAGTTCCTGTTGTTCAGTGAAACACAGAAGGACCTGGTATCTCGTGCAGTACACAGGTGTCTTCACCCTTTTGATGCCAGCATCCTTTATAGTAGCTCCTGGATTGGTTACCATTGTCTACATAGTATGCAGGAGGTTGGTGTTGGTGGTGCAGGTTTTGGCAAACTCCAACATTCCCTGAAACACTTCTGGATGAATGGCCTTTTCATGGTGAGACCATTCTTCTTTTTGTACACTTCCTTGTTGAGAAGAAAACTGTACAAAGCAAGGGCCACAAAATGTTTTGGGGATCAAAATATTCAAGCCACCCATGATGCAACTGTCCTCAAAAACAGGATCTGGAATGGTCACATTCTTGGCTCGCCACACAGCAGCCTCTTTCACTCTCCTCTTCACAGTTTGTCTGCTGAATGCTTCATGCACAGTAGAGCACACTTCACAAGTGTCCATCCATTTCACAAACAGAAGTTTGTTTTGTCTTATCCACTGCATTTCTCCCCTTTTTGGTCACTCTGTTTGTTCTTTGGAAAACCAATCAATGGCCAATTTTTGGTATAGATATTGTCCACGAATAGTCTGTAGCCCCGACCGAGCAGAAGATATGCCATAAGATCCATTACTGATGGCAGCTCAAACCCTGGCCTGGAACGTGCACACTGTTCCCCTCCATGTGTAGGCTGTTAAGGAGTATGCAAGCACAAATATTTTGTAGACCCCACATAGCAGTGTACTTTGCAGGCATTGAGTATCTCAGTGTACAGGGATTTGATCTTGAACAGTCTGTCATACTTTGCAGTGTTCCTCTTCTAGTCGATGGATTGAAAGCAATCCCATGTTCATATCTTATCACCAGGGAAACGTAAGTTGTGTGACCATTCCTTTTTCCAATAGCCCCTCTGTCAAGTACTTTACACGAGCTGTAAAGATGCTAAAGCTGTAAAGTAAAAGGGGAGACCATGAGATCGTGGTGTCAAGGGTGGACCCAGGTATTAATGGGTATAAGTTGACTGCAGAGACGATTAGTTTTAAATTTGATCAATATGCTGTTGTTGTCTGTTCAAACTTTATCCTGGGCCAATAATTGGGAAGAAATCTTCGCACAAAAGGTTGTTTCCTCTCCTCCAACATTTATGATAAAATTTAATCGAACTGTTGTCAATGAAAACATGCAGTCTTGTGTCCCCATTAACACTAGAACTAGAACTACCGGAATTCCATAACTACTAGAACGACCATAGCGGTCATTCTGACCGTTCATACGGCCGTACTGAACGTCATTTTCGTCATGTCATATCTACATTTGAACCTTCTCCTTAAGTTTTCGTATGAAGTTTTTAATTCCTGTCATCATGTTATGACATCATCACCCTTAAAACAAGCTCAAAAGAAAGATTGCCCCGACAGGTGCTGCCTCTCTGTGTGAGGAAATTTTTGCGTCAAAAAGATTTTTTTCACCGCACTGAAAATATTGTTTTTGATTACATAAATGCCAACAAATATGGAGTGAAGCAGAATATGTTGTGAATTTTTGGAGACAATTACATCGATCTTTATGCAGCACAATACAGTACACACAAAAACAGGCTAAGAAAAAACAAACATTTGCTAAACAAGAAAACAAACTGCTTTAGAAAGTAACGATTAGTTTCAGTGAACAAAAAATATCAACGAACAAAATCAGATTAACACGTTTTCCTCCAAGTAGGCTCATTTGAACGGCGCAAACACCCCATATCATTCACTGACGCTTACGCACAGTCCACACAGGTAAACACCGCCTTCCGTGTGCAGCTCCCACACACTACTTTGTGACATTTAGCACATGTCTCCTTGGTTTTATTTTTTTTGCAGTTCCTCCTTACTTGGCACTGCCTTCTCCTCTCGACCATTTTCAGCACCACACTGTCTCCAAGTTGACCTGGCCCCCTCGTCTCTTCTTTGCCCAGATAAGGCGCACCGTTTACCATGTATTTGGTGTCGACATCCGCAGCAAGCCAGAATTTGATTCCGAATTTGTCCGGTTTGTTTGCCATATACTGGAGGAAGCTGCACCTTGCCTTTGTAGGGAGTAGCTGCTCATCCACAGTGATGTCGGCACCCGGCTTGTAGCAGCCGATGCTGTTTTGTACAAATCTGTCCCAAACATCACTCATAAGGGCAAACTTGTTGTCTCGCAGGCGTGTGTGTGGGGTTTCCCTTCTGTCGAAACACAGGAATTGCATGATTTCCTGGAACCTGTTTCGGGACATGGTCTCCTTGAAAAAAGCGCAGCCCCACTCGGCTGACCAAAAGCTCGCCAAATCCATCCCTTTACCACCTTGCGCGCCCTGAATGTAAATAAGACCAATGAAGGCTTTTAGCTCTTCAACTGTCATGTCCCATATTTTGTCCTCCTTGACTCGGTGGGCCTCAGCCACGGTGCAGTCCCTGATGTGTTTCAGCGTGTCATCATCCACCAAACACAAAAAGGCTGTAAGGGCATCTACAATATTGCGCTTGGCGTGCACTGTGGGGCCTGCAGCTTCTGTGATCACATTTTGGCATTGTCGCCTTCCTCTGTCTTCACCCAACTCTATATAGGTCCACACTGTGCCGTCTTTCGCCGTTTCACGCCTCACGGCTGAAAGTGGGTTTTTTGGGCCAGCTTCCTCATCTCGTGGTGGACTGAGTTGTCTTGGTACAGCAGGCACAGCTGATGGATCAGGACTTTGCACTATTGCCAAAAAAAAAGAACAGACCAATTACTTTTTTAGTTCATGAAATCACAATCTTGTCAGGACTAATAAGCCTATATGATTTCTACTAGCCTGACAATATAGCATAATACTATAATACTAATAATAGCAATAGCGTTTTTGATAGAAGATCTAATCAGTATAGCCTAGCATAGATGGTTAGAGACGGATAACCTAACTTTGAAGTACAACTATTATTGATAATAGCCTGGCTAGTCTGCCTCACAAAGTATCAGGAAACACATACCTGGAATATTATCCGATGGAACAAGGTCAGGGCCAGGATCGGAGACGTCCAGCCGGCTCTTTTTTCGACGGGGAGTGAATTCATTATCTGAATCACTGTCAGAGCTGGATGAACTGTCAAGGGACCAAGAGACATCGCTGTCCCTATCCTCTGTGGCTTTTTGATTACATTTTGTATAATATTTGGTTCATTTTATTTGGTTTAGCTCAAATGTATTACTTACAGCGTTGGAATAGTTTTTAAAAAAAAAGAACAGAAAAAACAGATCGTTGCTATGCAACAGGGACGCTCATTACCAATAGCAGGAAATATCCATATCAATACCAATATCAATATGGAAATATAGTGGACTGAAATATGATATCTATAATGCGTGCGGTCAGAACTGTTTTGTGTTTTTAATAAAATAACAATGTCAGAATAAAATATACACACATTTAGGAAAAGTCAGAGTCCTACAGCCACATTGATTTTATTTTAACAAAGTTATTACACTGTGAAATTTAAGAACAGTCAAAATGACTGCCTTTGTAGTTCTAGTGCAGATACAGGTATGCCGATTGAAGACAGTTCTAGTTGTGATTTTTTAAGAAAAGCTACGAGGTCTCAGCCAAGAGTTTAGGAATTGGTTCTGTAATAGTTATTTTTCCTATATTTGAAACTTAAATAGGAGAAGCAAGACTTGAATCTATGGGAATTTTACCAGTCCCGCTTTTCGAAGCAACTCTTTCCAGTACTTGTGTCCCGGCGTAAAATTGTCTTTTTTGATATGGGCTTTTTTTCTCCAAAGTTTTCAAACGCAGAGTGCGCGCTCGGTCCTCCACTCTGCGAGCCGCTGCGTAATGATCTCAGCTAAGTTGTCTTAATGTGCATCAATATCTCGGTAACCCAACTGTCGATTTGGATGGTGATATGTCACGCCCTCCACAGAGTAGTGTGTTTGGATAAAGTTGTGTCAATATAGACACAGAGCGTGTGTTCACATTGGAAAGGCTGGGATGTAGGCCTACTGCAATTTCTTCGTTATACAGGGCATGAATAGACAAAGACTGGAATCCACTCAAAATGAGGCACTGCAGCAGCCATTACTAGTGGTTTTATGCGACCAGACAGAACTTTTGATTCCAAAAACAGCAAAGATTAGACACAATTTGTAGTTGTTAATGTAATGTAATGAAGACTGTTCTTATTGTAGGAATCTGTGGAGTCTCTGTGTTAATTTGAGGTGGTGTTGTGTGAATAGTGTGAAATGAAAGATATCAGGAGCACTGTGATTGTGGGCATGCACCGTGTTCAGACAGAGAATGCGTTTTGCTACACGCTCAGTCAGTCGCTTGGTGTTTGTCTTGTTTTTTGTTGTGGAAGAAATGGTTACACTAGCGGGTTGCTAGTCAAACTTCTTCTCGTCAAATATAACAAATATAACGTGAGTATGTTATTTCATGTTTAAACACCCTGTGACATGTTTGCCTACACAGCAGCTGTCCCACCCCCACCACAGGGAGGGGTTTCACATGCAGTGTGATATCAAACAAGGAAAATGTGATGTCTTTACATCCCATTGGGACATTTCTGGGAGTAGCCAATTGATTTTAAATAGCTGTTGATTCCAGCTGAGACATTTTCAAATGACAACAGACTTGTTAATTAAAGTACAACCCACCTGTCTTCGATGTCAGAGACGTCCCTTGTGGTGGTCCTGGAGCAGTGGAGCCCGTTGCTGCCGGCCCAGTGGTTGCAGGTGAAGAGGCTGAAGACATAGCTCCCGCTACAGAGACAGACTGAGCTGGTGTCCTGGCTGTGGTCACGGATACCCCAGCGTTAGGTGTAGTTATTCCCCCAGCGCCCCCCTGGTACACAGCACGGGCAAGAGAGATCTGGGACATCTGGCAAGTGGAGGCCTGGAGCGTTGGGACAGTGGCAGAAGCTGGGGTAGAGACTGCTGCTGTGGTGATGGCGGGAGCAGGCTTGAGTATAAAAGTGGCGGTGGAAGTAGTTTTGGCCTTGTTGAGCGAGCTGGCTGCGGACAAAGAGGAAACAGGAATGTTGACCAGCGTTCCTGCCTGGCCATTAGCCATTGATAAAGGCAGCTGGATGAGGAGCGGCTGGCCCGTAGTCATCATGCTGCTGCCGGCGGTCGTTTTCAGCAGCAGGGTGCCTGTGGGACTTTGAGTGGTGATGCCGGTGGCCAATGTGGAGGCAGCATTAGAGGTGGAGGTGATCAGCTGGAGAATGGGGGCCTGTGTAACCATGGCAGTGGAGGTGGGTGTTGGAGCTGGAGCCAAGGCTGGTGGAGCTGACAGGGCTAGATTTGCTGAGGAAAATAGGAAAAATTACTTGTTTCAGAACGTGTTGGAAGGTGTCACTGAGATTTTCAATTGAACAGCATTCTGTGGTCCTTTCCTCATTTGCTCCTTATTACTTACTGTAATTAACTATTTATTTACTTAAAGGGGTACAAAAACCAGAAGCAGATTAGTCATCATTATATCCAGCCATAGTTTTTTGCTAGCAAGTCTCATGGCACCTAACATGCAATGAGCAAAAGACAGGTGAAGACCTATTGCGACACTAACAGGACACTTAAGGATGATGCTGATTTCCAGCAGACCAAAGCAAACAATGCGTTAGTTCATCTCTTAATACATGGCACTCAGGTGCATGAAATTCATTCCTATTGAAAACGTACAAATAAACGCTTTAAATTTTAAAGGACCAGTGTGTAGGATTTAGTGGCATCTAGTGGTGAAGTTGCAGATTGCAACTAACTGAACACCGCTAGCATCTGTATTTGACCACCTGGGACTGAGAACAGGCTGTGAACTGGGTAGAATAAACTACGGGGGCCAATACATGAAAGGAACTATCTACCGCCAGTGTTTGGTTTGTCCATTCTGCACTACTGTAGAAACATGGCGGCCAACATGGCGTACTCCATGGACCCACAGCGTCAGGTGATAAAAAGGGCTCATTCTAAGGTAACAAAGACACAACGATTATATATTCAGGTTATTTAATATTGTGTTTCATTTTTGACAGTAGATCCTCCTGAATGTTACACACTGGATCTTTAAAAAAGGCCAAATAATTTCCTATGTCAGCTGGGTACTGTCATTTTTGGCAAACATTACTCAGACAAGAGTAAACATGATGGGGACTATTTTCATTCACAGATTCAGGATTTTAAATAGATTAAATTAGGAATTAGTAATAAAGGAACATGTCCCTCCATGCCATTCTTCGCATTGTGTAACGAATGGACATAACTACATGAACACATGGAAAACATGCAAACTCCCCATGAGAGAAACAGGACCAAGATTCAAAGCTTTGGAGGTGACACTGTGAATCATTGTCCCTCTGCTTATTCTATCGAAAGGAAAAGACCAACACAACATCCAGCATAAAAGAAATCCTACTACTCACCAGCTGAGCTGGACGAAGAAACAGTTGTTGGAGTCTGCTTTACCTCCATGGATGTCCGGACTGGCCTGTTTAGAAAGATTGCTTATGCTTAGAGCTGTTCACGCTTAGGGATGTTTATGTCCACAACAGGAAGACAGCTGAATGTGTTATGGTACTAACATTTCATTTTATTTCATTTCATACAGTCATCTTAGAACAACTTGTGGTAAGAGTCCACCTCATAACTGAAGTACATGTCATGTTTTCATTAAAGCATTAATCAGTATGTAAGTATAGTTCAATAGTTTCAAGTGTGGTGCCAATTCCACAACTTATGTACAAGACCCTAGGGTTTCAGTCCTTTTCAATATGCAATTAATTTCTATGAACGCTGACGAGAATCAATGAAAGTGATATTTAGACAAAATGTTTTGATAATTTTAGTGATGCATAATGACAATTGTCCCAGTATGCTTCTGTTCCTTTAACATAAGACTCAAAATGACACGGCGGTTCTTTCATCATATTCTCGAAAAAATTCCGGTCTTCTCTTCACTCGCAGTATTTCATTGATACTGTCACGAATCTCTCTCCAGCTGTCAGAAGACAGTACAGGGAATCGACGCTCAATGTACATGTGCATTGTCCTTCTTAAGTTCGTGGGCAGTGCCTCCTTGCCCAATAATCCAACATAATTGACCTTTGCGACCCAGTCACAGTAGACATCATATGGGACTAAGTAGCGGAATATGTAAGATGCGTAGCGGTCCGGCCTGGGTTTCCCTGAGCTTCTTTTGCAGTTGTGGTACAGCACGTTCTCCAAGTGGGAAGTGATTGTGCGGAGTTTAATGTCTGCTCTGCATTTTCCTTCACTGTATTCTGCCAGCTTTTTTGCCATGGCAATATGACGCGCCACATCTTTGTCCTCTCCCTCCTCCATTTCCTCTTGTTCCTTCTCCTTCTTGTCAGACAATGCAGGAGTCTTATCAACAGAGGGCGCCACTCCCTCTCTGGGAACCTCAGGCTGCGGCTCTACTGTCTGCCGACGCAGCACGCTGTTGGGAGGAGAGGTGCAGTTTTAACTACACTCTGCACTGCCTGAGGAAACACTCACTCAGGCTTCACATTGTAGAACGTCACAAGACTCAGGACCAGGACCCACTCTGGGTTATTTTGCAGGTGCAAAACACAAGACTGGCACATGTGTTTGTTTATTCCAAACCAGTCTTAAGAAATATCTGGAGTGAAGTTAAGAGTTTAAAAAAGTTGATCCTGACAAACCGAACAAGGGACATGGAATCGTGGTTTCCAAAAAGGTATCGATTTGGAGGATGTAGGGATTCTTTATTCTGTCCATTAGTTTTAAATTCAGTCTCTAGAGATTACAGATAGCAACCCGGGACAATGTCAACTATTCACGCTGTGAACGGCTTCGTGTGCAGTACTGGCTTCAGTCCGGTATTGTCACGTTCATACAAAGGCCAAATTATATTCACACAAAATACCCAAGTGCAGACTGCTAACATGTTTAAATACATTTATGCTGTGAATTTTGATGAATCAAAAATATTTTGTCACATGATGAAATGGTCTGGCAAACGTGAGCTTGCAGAGAAGTGATAAAAATCACTTCCAAAGAACCCTGAGAAACGGATTGCTAAATTCATAACATATACAAGTATGGCATAGTATTTCTCATGTAAATCCCTATCCCAGAGAAATTGCTCTGGGCATGGAAACACTTACCGTTGAACTTGAGGGTTGTTTGCAACAGTTGCGGTCTTGGCAGCAGCAGTAGCAGCAGCAGTAGCAGCAGCAGCAGCAGCAGCAACGGCAGCAAGCGCCTGTAGAAAATAGACAGTGTGCTGTCAGAACATTTTATTTATACATTTGATTATGTTCCAGATTTAAAGATTTTAGCATGCAACAAAAGGAAAACGAATGCTTACTTCTTGTTTCCTTTTGTTCTCTGACGCCTGATTGGCCTCTCCAAACTTTTTTGCTAGTCGGGCTATCTTAGCCTAAACAAATGGTAGAGAGACAGATTTGTGCATTGCCAATTGTGGGGAATTCATTTTAACAGCTCCAACCACAATAATAGTCAGCAAAATAGCATCTTACAGCACTGCACACGTTTTTGTTACAATAAAAAAAGTGCTTCACATTATAATGTTACTGTCTACTTACTTGGAGTGTGTTAATGGCGGTTTGGTGTTTAGTGGCACAGTCAATCTTGTCTACTCTGTCTTTCAGCTCTTCGAAATGTTTATCAAAAATGGTCAGCTGCAAGGCTCGCAACCGTTCATCCACTAGCTGTTGCACAATCTGAGAAAGAACATCAGGTAAAGACGGGGCATCAAAGCAGAGTTCAGTTGGTTTACACTGTAAGTAGTGTTAAAAGCTGTGCAGCATAATAGTTGCATACAAACCTTTTCAAGTTTATGGTGACTGCCAGCTTTTGCAGTAATTTTAAGTTCCAGTTGAGCCTCCAACTCCTCACGTTCCACCTTGGGCCTCTTCCCCTCTCTTTTTACGGTTTGTCCATCTTTTTCGTAACCCTCTGATAAAGTGCGCTTCAGTCCAGAGGTGGAGCCCTTCTCCTCTTGCACTACTTGGGAAACAAAGAGAAAGGCCGGTTAGTACCCTACGTGTGCCATTCATTGCCCTAAATCTTTTGTGTGTTTCTGTTTTAGGTCAGTTTCAGCCATGTTTAGTTTTTGTCTTACTATATTTTTGCATCATTTCACTTTTGTCTTGGAAAACCAGTTAGCATAACTGCACATGTCACACATCTTTGGATCATCTGGCCGGTATTAAAAAACGTTTATATTTAGCTCGTTTTACTAGGAAGATCATTTTCTCAAGATCAAATTTCTGGCTTCAAAGTGTAAGCTTTTATGTCAACCTCATTTTCTTGCACTGCATAATACGTGGCATTTAATACAACATTTTTATTATTCTTACAATTTGATTAATTGAAATTACAAAATACAGTTGTAACATCTTAAAGTGAAACTTGGTTTTACATGGAAAGTCACAGGGGGTACCTCAGAGTCTGTGAAAACAACTGTATAAAATCTTCTGGGACTCTGGAAGAGGTTTGGCAAGTCTGACAAAGTTACTCCAGTGACATCAGCTGGGTAACTCAGCTTGGGCATGGAGACGCGTTTTTGACAGAAATCCTTTTTGACAAACTGTTGGTGTGGAGTCAAAAGGACAAGGCAGGGAGGGTTTAACAACAGATGTTACTAAGTTGCGTTATGGGAAGTGTAGGATCCAGTGTTTTTGGAGCCTGACTCATACAGTGGTTACCAATATTTTTTATTTCGTCTCTCACAAATAGCCCAACTTGCAATGCTAAATCTACTAATTTAAAATATATCTTATTAACAAGTAATACCGTCTATAACCCAGAACCCCACTATTTCCATAGCCGTCCATTTTGGGTTCACATGGTTTAACTAGAGCACAGGAACTCTGCATGTATAAAATATTTAATATATCTAATATTGCTGCTTTTTGTTAATTTCTTCATTTCAATTATCTTGAAGCTATCTGACACAGCGTCCACTATGTCATACCTGTGTTAGATGGTGGAGTGGATGATGGCCGAGATGGCTTTGTGGTTTGTCTAACTTCAGTTTTTTCCTTTTTGGTCTCTACTTTCACGGAGTCCAACTCCATCTTTGTCTCATTTATCGATCCCTTCTTCCCATCCTCTTTTTCAATCTCCTCTTTTTTAATTTCTTGATCTTTTATTTCCTTTTCTTGTTTTAGATCCGCACAAGAAGAGGAAGCTGGACGAGACGAGGAAGGACAAGGAACAGAGGAATCGGAAGTGGTGGCTTTGGGGGAAGAAGGCTTTTCGTCTTTTTCTTTGGCTGTGGAGCCCTCGGGGTCCTTTATAGTGTCATTATCTGTATCCATTGGTTCTGTGCAGTCAGATACTGGCGGTGGCACAGACGAACATGAACCCAAACCTTTTAAATCCTTCACCAAATCCACAGCTGGGTCCTTTGTTGAAGTCTGTTCAGCCTAAGGAAGAGCATAATTAACGATGATTAATTGTAACTTTCTTAGTTTATCCACATTTCTAAATTAACCATCAACGTCTGAACAAATCCAATATAAATCCAGGTAAGTAATGCTACATTGTAGAATGTATAAGAACAACATTTACCTCTTTCTTTTCCATCTCTGGGTTCTCCCCTGTGTCTTTTTCCTGGTTTTCCTTGGATTCTGTTGATGCTGGTGTAACAGACTCATTTGATGAGGACGGCAAAGAACCTTTCTTTTCCCCTTCCTCCATCTTTTTCAGTTCAAAGTTTAGACTGTGGAATGGTGATGAGGGAGAAGAAGGAGAGTCTTCCTTTTCTTTTGGGCTTTGTGAAGAGTCAGGGGAAGGGGATAGATTTAGGGACAGGAAAGGAGCAGGAGAGCTCAGAGAGGTCGGAGAGGCAGGGGATGCAGCAGAGGGGGAGTTTGAGTCCGAGATGTTGTTAAGCTCTTTGTCCCCCATTTTCTGTCCATCCTCTTTGTGCGTGCCATTCATTAGAGGTGGTGGAGATGTGTCAGACAAACCTGGAGCAGCTGTCAACAAAGTGCTGTGAAGACTCTCCAGTTGCTGTCGATCACTGATCTTCATGGTTTTCCTAGCACGGAAAATCTTCTTCTTCTCCTCTGTCACAACAACTTCCATTGCTGTCTGTGGAGGGACAAGGAACGATTAGATGCTATCAGAAGGGCATGATCAATCTAGGAAAGATCTAAATAAACATAGTGATAGCTGCTAGAGTACACAGTCACAGTCTCTTCCGCTTATGAACCTGTCCTGGGCTTAACGCACTGCACAGTAAAGAAATGGCTGCAGAGTTTCAGAGAAACCACTAGAGGTCACTGTGGAGCCCCATAGCTTTCTTGTTTGTTCTTTTCTGGAAGGTTCTTCTTTCACAGAGATCTGCACACCAAAATGGTTCCTCAACTACCTGTTTCTTTACTGCAAATTTGACTTAGTATCCAAGCTAAATCACACAGATCCTTACTACCTGATTACACATTTCTGTATCTATCCTAAAGTGGTGCAGCTCAGTAAGCCAGCCCTATTCATGTCAGTCAGAAAAGCCATAACTTCTTACAAATTCCCTTTTCCTCCATTTTCTGATTTGCCTATGGATTTCATGTTTACCTAAGCCCCGATCCAAAGAACAGAAATGACATTGAAGTTAAGAACAGCAGCAACCCAACCTTCCTCCCATCCCCCCACGTTCCTATTGGTTCAACCTCAGCAAATCAGAGCAGGCAAATTGAGGCTGTGTTGGCAGCAGTAAAGAGGCTATGCAAAACATGAAGGACTGTCCGTATATAGTTCTGATTGTTTCACACATTGTAGTGTTCAGGCTAGTTGTTATATTTTATTTGTATAATGTCATGTATATTCATTTTATATGAATGTCTTGATTTAAACTCCTTTTTATGGAAGATGCATTAAAGCTGTGTGCTGCTCATTTTACATTCAGTAGCAAACAAGAAATGTGCTATGATATTAGGTAACATGCTGTACATACACTAAATAAATGATCTATGAATAACTCACCTTCAAGCAGAAAGGTTCCTGGTCATGGATTTACCACAGAATTCTTCGACAACCTGCATGAAAGAAAATATATATTTTTTTAGTAAATTTTCTAATCTTAGGTTCAAGCTAGGAAGAAAAAAATCAACTTTGTATGAAATCCACAGACCATGCAAACTAAAGTGTAAAACTAAATATAGCTCCTCTGAATTAAGCAGTCTATCTCCATCCCTTGAGCTGTAACTGAGCCCTAGGCATCAAAAGGAGATATTTATTTGTGGGATCACTATGAATGCACACAAACTGGAACTATTATGTTGATAATAAATTGATAATACAGTATAGGAAAGGATTTATCAGGTGACAAATAATAGATTTGCAGGCAAGATGGCCTAACCCTAAGAGAACCCGGTTAGAGATGTGACACGCTAACCAACGCACACACAGAGGTCAAAAAGAAAAAGATTTAAAACACAACAGTGGACAGAGCAAGCATCAAACTGCAGGAAAGAGGCTTTCATACAAAACACTTTACCAACCCGTACTTTAATGAATGTGAGCTCAACAATCTGCAGCCATAGGGATTTGTTTTTCAGGCTCAGCGGTTAACAAGTTGACTGCATTTCTGATAAATTAGTCTGTGTGTCAACACACCTCAAAGTTATAACAAAAAGTTTTTAAAAAATGCATAATGTATGCAGTTAAATCTGTCTGTCAACATAGGAACAGAACCCAGAAAGCCAGTTATTAATCACGCAATCTTCAAAATCTTATCTGGTGAGATCAATAAGCTGCTTCCGTTTTACACTGCAAAGTTGGTTAGCTCTACTGCATTGCTGACCTGCAAGACTGCAGCTGACAGAGCCATCTGAAAAGGCCTTGTTCAATTTAGCCATGTGTATTTTGCAACCTAGCAAGCTCTCACATCAGAAAGGAAAATTCAACATTCACTAAGAAGACTGATCTGGGCTGAGTTATATACTTTACACTGTAAAGCTCAAGCAGCACACTGACATGCTGGCGCATACGCACGATACTATAGGCCATTACTGCTCTGCTTTCAGCAAATATGCTTCCTGCAATGACAATAAACTTACTGCAAAAACAAATGGAAAGATATTTTTATTACTTTAAGATAATTGCTTTAAATTTAACTTGACAACAGAATAATATGAAGAGTCAGCATAAACAAATAAAGAGCGGTGTAAACTGCGAGCAAGATCACTGGTACACTTCACATTCCAATGTTACTGCACACTGCGCAGAGCACAATATCCCCTCCCCCATCCTACGGCCTCATTCACTGCGCCTGGATTCAGTGCAGAAACTCAAAATGGCCGTCAGCTCTGCCGTTTTCTGCCAGACTGAGCTCTCAGTAGCTAGCTGAAAAGGATTCCCTAACACATATATCAGATTGCAGGACCACCCTGTTTAATAAGGATTTTATGTTCAGCCTGAAGCTTCAGCAAGTTGGCAATGTACACAAATTGTAGACTATATGAACGTCATTTTATTAAACAAAAATGTTATATAAACAAGTTAAACATTATCCAAATGTTTATTTTTCCATTTGTCCAGCCCATCTACTCCTACACTCATTTCTATTGCGCTGGGGTTAAAAGTATAGATGGTTATGGTTTAAGTCATGTTTTTCAATTACACAAAACACTGTGGCAATAATAGGAATTATTTCTAAAAAAGGTTTTCAAGCTCATACCAAGTTCATCAGTCCATATTTAAAAATAGGACTGTGTGCAGCTACATCAGTGAGAAGTCTGCTGAACCTGACAACCACTAATCAAACAATCATTTCATGTGTCCGATGTGAATGCACCGGCTGGGTATGGCATTTAATTCGCACCTCAAGCAACGACAGCTATATTTTTTAAAGAGAAAGATCGACAGAGACATAGCAATATTAATTTCACAATTGTATTCCTAGCTCAGGCAAACTGAGTCTTGTCTTCAGGGTAAAGTGAATGGGTCTGAATTAAAACCCCATAATGTTGTTTGATGCAAGTCACGATTGTTTCCTGTGATACTACTGACCACCGACTGCTGACACACAACATTAAGCAGACTTCCATTATTTCTGTCTTTCTTTAAAAGAAATTATGTATCTTCTGTCAAACACCCACAGGGTTGCGTGTAACTGGAGTCAACAATCCGACATGCTCCGATTTCAATGCACAGAAGAGAGGGCTTACACAACTTTCAGGACATTTCAATAATTTATTTTTAAAATCTTTAAATTATTGCTTTCCTAGATTGTGTTTATTATTAGAATGTTTTCTCAGTAAAGTTTTGAAAACTAAGTTGCCGTGCCTAAGAAGGAATTTTTCACATGTACGTTCATGCTAAGCTGGAAACATCAAAAACAGGAGACAAGAAGAGATTGTCCATCTTCTCTCTAGGGTTGTTTTTTTTGGGGGGCAACTGCAACCCACTGTTTCAACAACAGGTGACTAGTTATTGAGGTGCTGGTCCAATGTCACAAAGTTTAACTCCGTTAAACTAAACTTGCACATCTGTCCAAATAACTGGTAGAGCAAGGGAGATAGTCCGGCAGCTGGAGGACTGAAGTCTAAGCCTCTGTAACGCCAAGTAAACAACAAATCCTTGGCATACTTTCAGTTAGAGGAACATTGAAACTTTCTCTTTCAGGAGAAAAGTATCACATTATTGGCTCAAATGTGAAAGACTCAAGGCTGTTTTGAATGGGAAAGTTGATCACAACCCCAAAGTAAAAGTCATTTTTGGTTGGGATACAGTACATGAAGAGTCCATGTGCAATTTGGCAGAGCAAGTTGGCCTCCCAAGAACAACATCCAGACTGTGCCTCTTTAATGAGGTATCATTTATCCCTGATGGAAGTTATTTCTAGGCATGTCACTGGCTGATACAAATGAAAACCTTTTAAATGGATCAGAATCTGACATATGGAGACCTGTCAAATTCCAAATCTTTATTTATTGTAAGCCGCTGTGCTCTGGGTACATAAGGTTTCCAAAAATGCATCTTTGTGCTCCATTTAAACACTGGAACCCATTACTTTACACACAGTACTGTCTGTGAGGGAACCAAAGTGCGGCATGAACAAATAAACAGTAACAAGCAAGTCAAGTGAAAATATTCACATGACAGTGTGCGTCAGCGGCCGAAGCAAGTAGGCCCAAAAACAATAATATTCCAGCACCATTTATGCAGGTGCACTATGTCTCTAATATGTTGTTTGCAGAATAATACTTCTACAGTTAGTTTGTGTTGGTAATGATCAGACAATGCCCAAATTGTGTTCAAAGCTTTCTGCCACAACAGCACAGTGTGACAGTCCTCTTTGGATATAGCAAATAACACCACATGACCCACCGTTGCACCCTATTCAAAAAAACTGTGGTAGCAATTGCACTTGCACGTGCAGTCTTGTGGGTTTGATATGCAGCTAGACAGTGCTGCATAAAGACATACAAAGAAAAAAACAAATGGCCACCTTAATCATTGTTAACAATGGAGATGCTTTACGCCTACAAGTTATTTACAAGAGCTTCACATACAGAGCAAATATATTACACACAACTACAAATTTGATGACAATGCTTACAAATACATAAATGTACAGTCACTTAGGTGTATGGACACATGGAGGCCTCAAGTTCACAACTTCCGTTACTCAGTCCAAAGATGAGAGTGTGAACAGGAACAAGCTGTTTAAAAAGCTTTCGTACTCCGGGTAGCGCGCACAGCTTAGCAGGTAACCAAATGTCCCTACCAAAATTGTTGAGAAGCTACATTAGTGAAAATTTACAACAAACACGCAAACATACACATAATGTCTTAAATGAATGTTTCCTGTTAAAAAAATATAACAAACATAAAACAATAAGCAAAAACTCTACTGTCTTCGACTAGCATAGCACCTACTACAAGTATGAAAAGCTAAGCTTGAGAAGAGTGTAAAGCTGCAATGACAAAAACTGAGTTAGATTTAAATGATAAATAGAAATGTTAAACATGCTTTAAAAGCAAATAAATGTCAACCTTTAGCAGGATGTGTGGGATTGAGGCCTTCCATGTAGCCTATTTGTTGATTGTAGGAGCAGAGAACGCCTGAGAGACCAGCAGAACATAAAAAGAAGGAGGAGGGACTCAGTTAGGACTAGTCCATCTTGTTCCTTGCAGGGGTATGTTCTATAAAGGTTGTGTGGCCTACATGAGCCTATAATGGATATTAATTAAATCCTTTAAAAAGGGAAGTCAGATCAATGCTCCTAACACAGCACTCTGCTATAATGCATATTATGAAACACAAAAAATAAAATAGGATTCCCCCCCTGATCCCTTTCAAGTGCATGATATATTTGCAGGTACCACAAATACATACAAATCTAATCTTGTGCGTACAACATTTAGAAGTACAGCGTGGTGATTATCAATACCAACCCTAGCTAGCAGCGCACAGACAGAGGGGAAGTACACTGCACAGACTGTTGCTTAGCAACACCCATCCCCCAACTCTAGCACAAACTAGTCCACAGTATGGAAATCTACAGCAGCACGGACTAAACCATTCTGGCAAGGCAGGGGGGACTCTCCTTTCTAAAATAACATCATAGGCAAAGAAAACTTAGTGATAAAAAAGATCAAGGACAACTCTGCAGCACAGAAATACAACTCAGTGCAGTGCTTTATTGTAGTTGTTGAGTTCAACACCTATTGTTTTATTTATTTGCTATTTGTTTTAACCATAGTCAAACAAAAGGCAAAATTACATACATAGCTGTAAATAAACCCTTTCAGGGCAGTGTATACTGCCTCCTCTGGCCCCTCTACTGAGTCTTTGACATATTTTATCTGAACTGCATGTAAACAATATGGTCACCCTAGGTACTGAGCATAAACTGAGCACTCACTGCGACTGTTAGCCATAGCCTACTGCAATCCCTCTAATGACCCAACCACTGTGGAGTACAGGGGACCAACTCAGGATGTAATATGAGCTCACATATCAGCTCACTTATAGATCGAGCTAAAGGCTAATCGTTCAAGAACGGAGGGAAATCTGTGGCATTGATGG